ATGTTCTGCCCCGGGCGCCCATAACTCTGGTTACGCCACTGGATTGAAGCAGGATCAAAAGCTCAGAAGCTTATTCATTCAACTCTTGATCTGAATGAATAAACTTCTGAGCTTTTGATCCTGCTACAGATCTCCCCATTGCTCTGTAGCACTATGTAACCACAATAAATCCTCATTATAATTATAATGAGGATGATTAATGAGGGAAATTCTAATGATGCTATCTCATATCATCTTAAACTTCTGTGAACTGACAGTGGAGGTTTTTCCTACCACTGCAGCAACAGATCAATTTATGATGCTCTGAAAGACACTGTACGCATTAAACCCTCAGCACAATGTTATTTACATTGTTTGTTATTACACACCCGCGAAAATGATGCCTCTATAGTAATTCCTACCTGCACAAGCCCAACTAAGCCTTATCGCAATGTTATACTAAAGATTTATACAGATTTTTATCCTGTCTGCATCACAATGTAATAGTAGATAGATAGGCCCAACTCCAAGCTCAGTAATCCATGTTTTATACAAAACGCAAAGAGTAACAGATGCACATTCTTGCACTAGTGTATACTTACAAGAAAAGCAAGAATGCAATCTAAAGAAATCGACATCCCTAAGTTTTGTAGGGATGTGAGTAACAGGTTAATGTTAGTTTTTTTTTTTTTACTGTTTTTTTTTTTTTAAAGAAGAATTCCGGGCAAACAAAAAACATACCCTTGCAGTGGGGCTACCTCTGCACTGCATGTGTTAAGTGTTCGTTTTGTCTAGGGTCCCAAATAAAGCTGTATTACTCACCTGATTCTCAGTCCCACCAACTTCTTCCAGGCTGGTTTCAAGAACCTCTTCTTCCTTCAGTTCTGGTGGTGTAAGAACTGCTAGCATTGATTTGCATTAGATGTGAGGATGCCAATAGACATTTCATAGCCGTAGCAGAGGGGGGAGAGAGGTTAGCGCTGATGTGGGATCAAGAATCAGGAAAGTAAAACAACATTATTTGAGCCCCCTAGACAAAACAAGCACTTACCTCATGCACTACAGGGGTAGCCCCACTGCAAGGGTATGTTTTTATTTTACCTGGAGCTTTTCTTTAAGTTGTGTTTTCATTTAATCTAATTTTTCAAACATGGTAGGTGGGAACCTAGCCAATTTTCTCACATGAGCAAAGCAACAAAATGATTTGTAGTAGACATCTTGTTCTCACTGCTAAGAGCAAGCATATATTACTATTACATTCATTTATTAACTGCCCTCTTCCAACATGGCTGTTGCAAGGTCACATCTTACCATTTATCCACAGAGCAAACGCATTAAGATACATTGTATCAATAGATGCTCTTAAAATGTACATGTGTTTTCCTCATGCAGGTTAGGGTAACAGGTTAATTTAACCTCAGCCCTCATCAACAGCAAATGCTTCTTTGCTCCTATGCTGATGTGTTTCATAATGCTTTTTGACCAAACAGTACCTTGTGTGGCGGACCATGTAACTGACTCCTCTGTCTCACACATGGCAGTGGTGGTGCTTGGTGATTCGCCCAGCCCTGTCATGTGGGATCAGGGAGAGACTACCTTTACCAGTCAAGGGCCTAGGTCATACTTAATGCGTCTCCGAGTCCTCAAGCCCACAAGTGTAGCTGCTGATACCAACTGTCAATGTAACATATAGCTGTTTCCAGCAAGTTATTCAGTTTTGTGAACGTTTTTGCTAAAATGTAAGCAAACACTGATACAATGGTTTACTCTGCAGTTGTCAGATGAACTACATGCAGTTTTGTCCCCAGTCTGTGGCATTTCTCCAGACCAGGATTTCCAGCTGGTCTGGAAGCCATCTTGTTTTAGTGGACCAGGCGAGTCTCTAAGAGGTGTGTGTCTGAGGGGTAGAAAGGTTTGCAGAACCAAAACCTTGCATGTGTATAAGGAATTAGCAGCCAGGGAAACTGATCAGAATGAAAGTCTGAAGTGAGAGACTGTTGAGAGAGCTGATCATGTTGATAAACCAGATCGAGAGACCATGGCCATACATTATACAATCTGTTTATACTTTACCAAAACCATGTAATATGAAGTCAAACCTAAACAATCATTTTAATTAGTATTAAATCAGACAGACCCCTATACTACATAATTGATGGTAGATCTAAAGGAGATTGTACAATTTGATCGTATAGTGTATTGTCAGCCTTAGTATTCAAACACAGAACTTCTAAAAAGTTATTTTTTTAAATATTGAAACCATAATAATATGTTTTTGACATTAGGCTACCACAGTTCAATAAAAATAAAATAGATGCAAAATAGCAGTACAAACTTGCAGAGCAGTCAAATGATTATTGTGTATTCTTGGTATAGGAAGCTGTTATGGTAGAGTCATAATAAGTTGGACAAATATAGTTACATAGTTACATAGTGTTTGAGGTTGAATAAAGATACAGGTCCATCAAGTTCAACCTTTGTGTGATTGTGGATGTGTATGTGTGTACTCGAGTCTCTGTGACCTTGTTTTTAAGAGTACATGTACCCCTGTATGTTACGGTCTCTGAGGAAGTTATCTAAATGCTTTTTGAATGATTCAATATTCTCAGCCGATACCACTGCTTGTGGCAGCGATTTCCAGACATTAACCGTTCTGACTGAAAAAAAGCCTGTACGCCCTTTATCGTTAAATCTTTTCTCCACCAGTTGTAGGTGGTGACCTCTATTCTTTGTTATGGAGTTTACTGTAAACAGTTTATTGCTGATGTTGCCATCACCACTAAACATTTTGTACAATAAAATCATGTCCTTTCTTAATCTCATCACTTCTACCGTGAACCAGTTTAAATTTAGTAACCTTGTCTCCTAGCTTAGGTTTTCAGCCCCTTAATTAGTTTAGTTGCCTTGCTCTGGACTCTCTCCAGCTCAAGGACATCTTTTCTGTGGATTGGTGACCAAAACTGGACCGCATACTCCAGATGAGACAGAACCAGTGATCTATAAAGTGGCAAAATGATTGCTTTGTCTCTACAGTACATTCCCTCACCTCTTCATAGAATTAAATAGTATAGCATTTACAAGGTGCAAATCATTGTTTGACAAATTATTAATTTTACAGCTTTCCAGGAAACAAGAATTTATGAGTGACACCAATCTCTCAGACCGCGTACCAGCACCACAGACTTCTGTTCTCAAGCAAATGAGCTTTGCAAGCCGCTCCATGCCAACGATTCCAGGTATGTTTCAATGCATACCAACGAACATGTTCCCGACATCATAATCAATAATAAGACATCATACGTCCCTGGATCACTTAGACACATAATGCTCACAATCAACTCAGCAAAATCTTTAGTCATCAATTTCCTCACAAGGGTTAACTCAGCACATCTTTTGATCATGATTTTTGTCCTTAACCCCTTCATGACTGAGCTAGTTTTCAGTTTCTGTTCATAAATGACTGACACACTTTTTACATTTTTGATTCTTCCACGGCTGTAACATACTTTCTTACTAAACTTACTAAATGCACCCACACATATTATATATTGTTTTTTAGAGGACAGATAGGGCTATATAATTATATCAAACGTGTACCTAACGCCTCACTTAGTTCAAATAAAATATTAAAAAATTAGGAAAAAACGTAAAGAAAACACTTTTTTTCACAATGCTTGATTATTATTTTTTTATAATTATAGTATAAAAATATTCTCAAAAGGAATAGCAGAGAGGTTACTCACTCTGCAACCTCTCTTCTATCTCCAGCTGTCAAATACGGGAGCGCTATTTAGCGCTCCCGTATTTGTATGTAACGGTTTCATTCTTTCATTAATGAAAGAAAGAAGCGTTTACAAAAGCTTAACTATTTAATTAATGAATACCTCAATACTGAGGCATTCATTAATGACTGGTAACCGATGAGAATCAGCGGTTACCGGCATTACAGGGCCTTAAATAACTTGTCACGTACAGTGTACGTGGCCAGTCATATAGGCACTTCGTGGCGGGACGTACAGTGTACGTCTCCCATCACGAAGGGGTTAAGTCATGCATAAATGTGCAGTGGAACCAGCCTTCTACGTGTTTCGCCAAAGCTTCTACAGGAAGATAGGAGGCAGCCTGCCCAGCTCATGGCCTGGGGCCATAATGTAATCAGATGTAAATGGCTGGCTCTAGGTTGGAGTAGTAGGCTCTCCGAGAAGACCTGGCCTCTCATGACTTCTCTTGTCTTGCTGTCTCCTCGTAGTCCTCTGTGTGCTACAACATTTATCCAGTGATCTGGGCAGTCACTTATGCATGACTTAAAAGAGAACTATGGGGTAAGTGTTTTTCCCCATAGTTCTCTTAAGGGTCCTGGGAGGACATATACTAGAGTCCTCCCGTGATCCAAAGCTCAGTATATGGCGAGCTACAGCTCGCAGTTAGCTGAGACCGCCGCAGCCGGGACGAATCCCGACATTACTGTCGAGATCCACCTAGCTGCCTGAGTGACAGCTGGTTCTGCCTACCTAGAGGCAGAGCCAGCTGTACCCGCCCTCTCCCCCGTCCGTTCCTCCACTTAGCACTGGAGGATCGGAGCGGGAAGGGGGAAATCCCTGCAGTGAGCCGTGCTTGGAGTCACGGCTCACTGCAGAGAGATGATCGAGAAGTGAGCGAGCGACGGTATGTGTTCGCTCACTTCCCGATCTATTGAGCCGACTTGTGACAGTTTAATTATAGGTTGGACTTGATGGACTAATGTCTTTATTCAACCTCAAATACTATGTAACTATGTAACACGTAAGCTCGAACTATGAGGATGAGTGATTTTTCACTCACCTCATAGTTCTCCTATAAGGACTAAAATCATGATCAAATAATGAATTGATTTAACCTTTGTGAGGAAATTGATGACTAAAGAGTTTACTTAGTTGATTGTGAGCATAGTGTGTCTATGTGGTCTAGGGAGGTACGATGTCTTGATGTAAACAACATAATTTGGTTAAGAAAAATTCCGCTAGCAGTAGATATATGCAAAAAAAGTGAGGCTTTAATTATCCTTTAAGGCAGATATTGATTGACCTGGTGAATCTTTGAGCGATTATTGACCTATGCTGAGGTCAAATCTGGAAGTGAGCGGCTTTTCATGAGGGCACACAGTGGTGCTGAGTGGAGGTTAAGGAAGACACCTCATGGAGAGATTTCTTTGCCCTATTGAGCACTTTTTCACAAACATGTGGACTATATACAGACAAACTTTGTGGTTTTTGGTGCTATTAAGCACTTTAAGTGTGTGGATCACATCTACAAGAATACCACAATATTAATTATTATTTATATATTGCCTATTTATGAACACTTGACATTATTGTTTTTACATATTTATTAGCACTAGAGATCTAGTTTGAGTGGTTGGAGGTGTAGAACAATTGTATATTATTAAAATTCACTATTTAGATGGTTTTGCATTGTCCCTGCTGCTAAATTTACTGGCGCATAGTGAATTTACTATTATTAAAATTATTCTTCATGTATTGGTTTAAAACCATGGTTCTCAACTGGTGGGTCGTGACCCAAAAGTGGGTCGCAATTCCATTATCCACTGGGTTGCCACATGCTTTCCACTGCACTAGGTGAGAAGCTCCTCAGCCTCCCTCTAGTGCAGCATTGTCAGAGCTCATGCAGAGCAGCCATTCAAAATATGCTGCTCGGTGCCAAGTGACAGCTTGAGGTGGGGTGGGCTTGAGGTGGGGTGGGGTGGGCTTGGGGTATGGCAATGAGGAAGCTTCAGCTATACGTTCATTGCTTACAGCTCCCTTGTGTGCCCTGTAGAGGTGCCTAGACCTGAGTGACATGACATTCTGGCTCCCGGCACCTCTACAAGGCATACAAGGGAGATGTACAAGCAATGCACATATGGATGGAACTCTACAACAGCACAGCAGCCCACACTGGACTAAGGATCCAACCAGTTCTCGTAAGGTAGGGGGACTGGTAGGATAGGTAGGATCTTAGAAAAAAAAAATTAGTGAGGGCCCGTTCACACTAGTACCGTTCGTTAATCGCACTGTCCCGTGCAATTAACGCACCACTAGCACAAGTATCTTAGCTCTTGTTTAGATCTTCATGTGCCATTGTGCCTCACATGTGACCAGCTATGACATAAGGGATTTGAGGATTCGAACATTTAAGATTGATTGAGAACTTTGTATGTAGCCAGGGCAGCAATTAGAAATCATGGGGTCCCATACAGTCGAAATGACAGGAACCCTCAACCCAACTAAGGCCCCCCATACAACCCGTGGTATCGCAGTGTCGTACGTTGTGGTGGGAAAAAGGTACTGCATGCACTACTTTTTTCTACCGCAATGCACGGTATTGCAGTACCACAGGCTGCGTTGTGTTGCACCGCAGTGCAGCCGGGAGGAATGGCAATGCAACGCACCTGCTGCACTGTAACACACAGAAGGTGTATTGCACAATAGTGTATTTTAATCACTCAAAACCATACAATGTCTGTGGTTGTGTGCGAATGTCAGTGAGGGCCCATTCACACTAGTACAGTGAGTTAATCACACAGTCCTGTGTGATTAACGCACTGTACCACTAGCACTAGTATTGTAGCTTCTATTTAGCACCAGTATCTTAGCTTCGCAATGTATAGGTGTGAAATGGCCCTGAGACCTTGCTGGCAAGAGACATGGGTGGGGCCAACCGGAATCTGACAGACAGCACCCCCACCTAATCAGAGTGTGCGGCTTCTTCCTTCTGCCTACAGATGTTGCCAGCTGCAACATCTCCGCATTTTGCAGTGCTCAGAGTCCTCATACTGTCTGCAATATGTGCACCCAAGGTCGGAGCTCCCCTCCCGGATCCCTCCCCCTCCCATGCTTGAGATGCACCAGTGAGGTAGGCAGTGAGTTAGGTGGACCTGCATAAAGCAGCATTCACCATAGATACCAAGACAACTGCGGACATCCTCAATGGATGTCCCACACTGCAGCAGAGTCACACTCCACCCAGGTAGGTACAATCAATGCCAGAACACCTGGAATTACCCAGATAAATGCCAACTATAATTCAGCCGGACTGACTATAGCTCTGGTAATCATTACATTTCTAGTAACCACCTCACAAAAGGTGATAAGGGCTACAGACCTGTTCAAAAATGTTAATAAATCCTCAATAAATAATACCATACCAGTGTTGTTTCCTGCAGTTCTTTTATTTACATTATCCCTACTAGCCCATATGTAGGGTACCGTACATGCATGGCTGCTGATAGGAGGGTACAGCCAGCCCTCTCATACCAGGCTCAGGCCCCATCGGGTCATCAGGGGGGTGCCCATGCTCAGTTTGGAAGTGGATTTCAGGCTTATGTGCAGTTCACCAGCCAATCACTGGGTTTCTCTCAACCAGTGTTGCATGCTGGGTAAATGTTTATATACTATAAAGAAAATTGCTATGTGCTCAGTTCAGGACCAGCCATGGATTAGTCCAGGTTGGGGTGCTGTCCAGCCTGCCCCCCAGTTGGGGATGCTGGAGTGCGGGAAGTTTTTCACTAGGCCTCAAGTTTTGGGGGGTGCCTGTGCTGTTGTCAGAGGAGGAAAACCAGGGAAGCTGGCTGCTGGAGGTGCCCGGAACATAGTGGACATCAGAAGCAAGTCTGGTGTCTCTTCTGCAGGTCAAATATCTATTCAATTATGCTACAAATGGATCTACACTGAATTATAGAGTTGGAATGGTGAGTCTGGAATCTACAGTATGTCTGTATTACCCTGGATATCTAGGATCCCTGTACCCTCTCTCCTCAGTGTGAAGATGTTAATAAAAGTTCTTCAGCATTATACTTTTGGAGTGGATATCAGCTTTGTGGTGCACTAGAAGAAGACGATTCATGCTAATGGAGCAACTGAATACTAAAACACCTAGACAGACTAGTGATGACCCAGGGTATTCTGACGGCTCCTTCAGGGCTGAGCACTACATGTCTAGAAAATTTGAACTTTCTTTTGTGAAAAATTTTAATCAGTGGGTTAAAATCCACTTTAATACAGTGCATGTTGGTGCACTGCAGCAAAGCTCATAGATTTGAATCAGCCCTAAACTCTTATTTTTATCAGCAGCAAAGTTATTCAAGCTCTTTATTTTACACCAGCAACATTTGTCTCTGATTAATTGTGAACCAGTGTGCTGCGCTTGGTATTGTGATACGTGCTATATTTATATCTGATTACTTTCAGGATTTTAGTCCGGATTTAGGAGGCAAGCAGACAAAGTAATATATGTGAAGACAACACTGTACCCATATTACCTGAATTGCAGTATGCACTGAAATCTAAAATAAGAAGCTTAAGTGACATCACTGCTGATACAAATAAGCATATAGAAAATGTTGCACCAATTATTTGTTTACATGTGTGAAATTTAATTAGCTGGCAAAAGTTTGTTTTGATATATACATTATCTGGTATATTTGGGCATATGGCTAAGCTGACCTGGTTAATTAAGCCTTAGAGAGAGGAACAAATATAGCTTTTTACAAGGCTGACCTCATCCATAAGGTTCTGACTGTTCACAAACAATAGAGACTAGTTGTCCAAATAGTATACCTGTGTTGAACAGTGTTTTTTAAACACTTTTTTGTACTAATAGATTTTCATAATGGCAGTCATTTCTTGCATGTAGTTCTGTTGTTCAGCTACTTGTTTTTATTTTTTTATTTAGCATTAACATTCTCCACTGTCAATGGCCCAACATATGAAGATCAAAATCAAAGCTCAAGAATGAGCCAACCAAATATCGCTGGACTTGAGTCAGATAAGAAGACTGTAAAGAAAAGCAAGATCAATCAGCTTTTTAAAACAATAGTGAGTTTTTAATCTTAAATTAAAAGACTGCAAAAAGCCCCCACTGAACAACTAATTCTCATGATATCAGTAATATGCCTTGCATGTATGTTTTAGTTTCTCTTTATAGGTGTAATGGGTAATTAACAAAAAAATTAGAATAGGAAAAAATGTGTACTGGAGTTCTGCTTCTTCACTTTTCTATTTCCAATCTGCTGATTGGGCAAGTGGAGCTGTAGAAGCATATTGATGATGCCATTTCTGTGCTCTCCACCTGTAAGCATGCCCAGACAGACTGCACAATGCAAATCACTAAAAATTATTCACAACACTCAGCGCTCAGAATCTGCAGTCAGATCCACATTAAGAGGAAACTCCAGTTGCTGGCAAAGGGCTCACTCCCACCTTTATGAATCATTGTCCAAGAAGAGCCACACTCAATGCTTCCTCCAAATAAATCCAAATTGTATTTCAATCCATACACCTTCCAAACTCTCTCCTTACATGTTTCACCCAGAAGTCATTTTCATAGGAATGAGTCTTTCACCTTCATGCGCCCAAAAAATAGAAACCAGCACCTCTCCCACTTGATTTTGACCAGGTGTTCACAATTCCCCGGAGCAAAAGATACAAGAATTCCCATATTAAAATGAAAACTCCATATACAGAAAGATGAAAACAAAACAAGACATATGTATACAAAGATACAAAAAAAATGTATGGAAAAATGCACATACACACAAATACACACTCTCTTGAGCTTATAAGCATATAAATGTGTGTGTATGTACATACACTGGCAGAGCGGCCATGGTGATCCCATTGCAGAAATATCTTCCTGATTCACTTTACAACTTAATATAAGTACCATGCTACGGAATCTCCAATGTTGTTCCAAGGGGCAAGCTAAGTATTAACCAGTGTGTCAGAAATGGATACAATATACCTGAGCAAAGGAGAAGTTAGATAAAAAATCTGTTACTAAATAGCAACTAACAAAAACAGGTCCCTCTTCCTTATAGAGCTCTCTCAGGGCTTGAACACACCAAATGCAGACCAGATCTGCATGAGTTTCTGCACACGCAGTGCAGTGTGTTTTGCCGCGTGTTTTGCTGCTTTTTTGACACGTTCAGGGACGTTTTTGAAAAAAAAAAGATTAAAATGGGCTTTCAGTGCGTTCTAGTGCGTTTGCATGCATTTTTGGTGTGTTTGCATGCGTTCCAGAGCAGGTAAAATAGGGCTTGCTGCAGTTTCTTTTTTTACATGCTCTGGAACTGAACGCTGCGGTGTGAACTAGAGCCCAAAATACAATTGGAATACATTGGACGCAGTTTTGATCCGGTCTGTAACTGCTCTGCTCTGCTCCTGGAACGCGCTTGTGTGTGGTGTGAACTAGCCCTTAGTGATCGCATACATACAGTAAATATAAACAGTTCTTAAAACAATAAACTAAGGCTTTAATTTAACGCCAACAATAAATCAAATCCTAATATCTCATATGATCTATAAAGTGGTTGGGTGAACTATGTGTGCTTAACATATAATAAAAGCTTATCCATAGATATCATAATATAAATATATGTAATCCAAAACCAATAGGACACAACTATTAATATTACTGTTATCATATTATAATATTATTATTATTATGATTGTATATGTGCATACCTATATTTTTATATTACATTATATTTATTCCCAAAAAAATAATACATGATTCATAATTAATGATTTAATAATTAATCATTTTTTAATTCAATAACTCCTGTCTAAATACATGGGACAACCTGCAAATGCATAGATTCTAATTGGGATATAAACCGTAACATATATACTAGTAATAGGTCAATCTCTATGTATGTAGACACAATTGCTTAAAGGTAACAGTGGATGACCCGGATATATACCTAAGTATTCAATATGATCTATATTTTAACAAATCAATATCTTAAACATAAATAAGTAAATATTCATAAGTCATAACATTATTTATAATAATAAGTGACATCCCATTCAAACTGTAAGCCTTTAGGGAGGCGGGTATTCAGAATACCTCTCATTTAGGCAAAAAGCTCTATCACCTCCTCTAATTGATGTATTTATACTCTCAATCATTTGTACTCTCATACTGGATATATCCCTGTCATGCTGATTCCAGAAGTGTCTAGCCACGTTTGTTTCTTTAAAAGTTCTAATATTAGGCAAACGATCCCTCATCCGATCGCTTAATCTTCTTGCGGTCTTACCCACATATTGTTTCTGACAAGTAATGCATGAGATCATATAGATAACAAGCCTAGTCTGACAGTTTACCAATTGTCTGATAGTATAAGCTCCATTAGTACAGGAAACAATATTGTGAGTATCGCCTAGAGAGTGTTGCAACTAGAACAGCGGTCTGAATGACATTTATATAATCCCACAGGTCTTAACCAGTCCCTGGGCTGCTTCTACTCCTGAACAGACTAGGGGAAACAATATTGCCAATTGTAGGGGGCCTCCTGACTATTGTACTCCAGATGTTAATACTTCCTTAAAACCATAATCTCCATATAAAGTTGGCAGATATCTTTTCATAATTCCCTTAATCTGTTCAAACTGAGAACTATACCCATTGGAAAAAAGATAGAGGAATTTTTCATCTTATCAAATTTGGATCTCTCTCCAGTCAAATACACTCCTCTCCTCTTATCCTTGAGTAGTTTAGATCTTGGCAAGCTTTATTCATAGATAAACTAACCAATGAGGAGGAATAGCCTTGCTCCAAGAATCTATTCTCCAGAGTCAGGGCTTACCGATAGAAATCTTCCTCCCTAGAGCAATTTAGCTGAATACACACAATTTGTCCCTTGGGGATAGCTCTTTTAACATGTAAGGAGAGAGTTTCTTTCGTTCTGGGGAGCTTTGGAAGATGTACAGTATGCTGTATCATGGATTAAAATAAAATTTGCATTTTTTGGGAGGAAGCATTCCCTTCTTTGCGGCTCTTCTTTAACAAAAACACTAATAATTATTATTAGTGTCCTGGTGTGAGAGCTACTATAAAGTAATTTACTTATTTATACTAACTGTATTTACAGTAATTTTTTTTAATGATTCCTAATGAAATGATTTTTAAAAATTTGCCTGGAGTACTAATTATACTAAAATGTAAAAAAAGGCTGTTTATACAGGGTGACCGACGGGAGTCGGACGTTTTTAGAACAGGTAGCACATTGTAAGTGGTGATGGGAGGGGGACGAGCTAGGTGCAGTGGTGTATCTTGGTTTTGTGCTGCCCTAGGCAAGACTAAACCCGAGCACCCCCCCCATCCCTAATCTAAACTAGTCCCACCCCTTCCTGTTTAAGACATTTTGCATAACCTGTCAGTTGCAGGATTAGGGCTCCTGAGCAGAGCCTCTCTAACCCTTGCAATGTTTTCCAGCTTCCTTGCAGTCCGGGCGGGGCCTAGTGGTTTCTTGTTCATAATGTTTCCAGTTGTTCTGAAATGTTCAACACACCTGAGGACCGTGTTGCGACTGGGAATGGCCCCGTGTCGACCGACATTGAATTCTCGACTAAATAGCCGCTGCGTTGCTGTGCTAGACTCACCACTTCAAACAAAGGTGTTGTAAGCAAACAAACAATGTTGTAATGTCCATTGCTTCATTGTGACTGATTTGGCATTCCAGTAGGGAGGAAAGACACCTAGCTTATCCCCCTCCCATCACCAATTGCCCTGTACTACCTGTTCTAAAAAGGTCCGACTCCCGTCGGTCACCCTGTACAATCATGTGAAGAGGATAAATGGTTATAAGTTGCCAGCTACATCACACATCCATATCTCCAATGATGCATGTTGGGATGCATGTTGGGATTTGTAGTTTTGGCACAGCTGGAGTGCCAAGGTTCGCCACCACTGGTCTAGACCATTTTTATTGGTCCAGTTAAATATGGCACCTGTGTTATGGTGCACCCAAGTTGGCGTACTTAAAGAATATGGAATCTGCAGGAGCAAGTGTTATGATGGGACCAACTTGACCTAGCCAAATAAAGTAACTTGCCTAAGCATGGCGAGCCAGAAGGACTTCTTGCAAACAATAGTGTCATGATATGGTGACCAACTTACCACTGTTCATTAATAAGACATGGCAGGAGTTTGTTTTTTTTCTACTTTCTTAGCCTGCTCTAGATTTAATGCATACTGTAGGTGAAAGTTGAACACCAAGCAAAACATAACATTCAGTAATAAATAAAAAGTCAAAACCACCGCTTTTGCAAATTTGTGTAGTTTTACAATAGAAGTAGTAAAATGACAAAAGATAAAAGACTTGATTTATTTATTTTTTTTAGTTTCCTAGCCATCTTGGCTACATCCATATTTTGCTCTTGAGATGAACACATTTTATTTGGTAAAGTAACTATGTCACTAGATTAAAAATAAAAAAGTCACCCTGCAAAGAAAACGGTTAATACTTATCTGTCCTTTAAAAAGCTACACAGTGGTTTAAAAAAATTCAGCATCCAACACACTTTGGACACTGCTGATTTTTTTGATAGCAGAATTTTTATACAAAAGTAAAAAAAACATAAACATGGTACGAACTGTACAGAAATCAAAATATAAACATATACCTCCATAATATATACATAAATGCAAATATACAGTACATACTGGCAATAAAGCCTCATCACCATATAAATAACCTCAAGGTTAAATCTGTTAAAAATAAATCAAGGCAACTGGACTTGCTGTATTTTTCTTGAAGACGTTTCACTGGTCATCCAACCAGCTTCTCAGTTCAGAATGTAATCCGCCAGATAAATAACCTCAAGGTTATAGTTCCAATATCTTTTGACATGAAGTTGCAGAGAAGGCCTAAGAGGCACAACCCATCACCTATGCATGCAGCCATTTTCTAAAACTCTTAAAGAACTGAGAAAAAAAACTAGGGTGATAAGACAGTGTGGTGAGTCAGCAGGGCTGAGAGCAAAGAAGGGGTTAACTTGGGAGGGCAGGTACTTCCCCTACAGCCCTTCCTGTTAAAAGGTAACACAGGTGAGAGAGGAGTGAGGAAGCTGAGAGACAGACAGAAAGGTCTGTGTGTGGCTGCTCAGGAGCAAGTGGACTCTATCTTGGTGAGATCACCTAAACGCACTACAATCTTATTGAAGGACTTTATCTTTATGTTTGATGTTTGCTGAGGAAAGCCTTTTACTTTACCGTTTTGCTGAAGAAAGCTGTCAGCCACACACTCTCATATCACCTTAGTTTATTTATTAGTTTTGTTTTTTTTAAATGGTTGCATGCATAGGTGATGAGTTGTGCCTCCTAGGACTTCTCTGCTGCTTCATGTAAATAGTTTACAGATCTATAACCTTGAGGTTATTTATATGGTGATGAGGTTTTATTGCCAGTATGTATATTTGGATATATGTATATATACAGTACATATGTACTCCATACATCAAAATTATTTTCAATAATTACATTTCACATCATGCATGCTGGGGGTGGGAGTAGAATTAGCTGGTGGATTGCAGCATATTATGGCTGCAACCTTATGCAAATATACTTAACATAGAATATCAATGTACCCAATGTGCAGGAGCTTGGAAATACTATCTTTTGGAAAGTTACTAACATTTAAAAATAGTAGTCAGGGGCAGACTGACCATTTGGGCAGTCGGGCACTGCCCTAGGGCCTGCAGCCAGGAGGGGGCCCATCACTGACTCCCCTCTGCCCTTTGATCCACTTCTAGCCCACAGTACTGTACTCCCAGCACTTGGCCTGCGGACCCACTAGACCCTGCTGCTGCAGTGTCCCCTGGCACTTGGTCTGTCTGGCGCGGTGGGTTCCAGGTGAGAAGATAGTCATGCTGTGTACTCTCTATGCAGGCAGCCCTCCTGTACTTGGCCCCATCAGGTCAGCAGCGGGGCCCAGCATGGGCTGCCTGCATAAATGTGACTTAAACTCCCTGTTGGTTCTTCAACAACGATCATCACACAATGCTAGCATTCCACTCAGGAAGCACGGCTCAGCCCCCTCCAACTTCCCCCAAGCAATGCAGCATGTCACACCACTAGCAGCCAATGAACAGCAAGCCAACTGTTGCATATGTATCGCTACAGAGCAGCGCTGAGTCGTCTAATCATGGGAGGAGGAGGGATCACCTACTGCAAATAGTTTGTTGGAGAAAAGTTTTAGCACACTCCTGGCGATGGCAATCCGAGTAAAGTGCCTGGGGGTTCACTTCTTGTTAACTTGCGGGGCACAGTTCGGGCTGGGGGGGTCCAGGATGGCAACTACTATTTGGGTGCCTTAGGGACTGTGTCTGCTGTCATGGAGAAGTAGTATGCTGTTGGTCACACGTATGTGGTATGTTGGTCTGTCGTGTATTGGTGCTGGTCTGTTGGTCTGTCATGTGTTGGTGCTGGTCTGTTGGTCTGTCATGTGTTGGTGCCGGTCTGTTGGTCTGCCATGTGTTGGTGCTGGTTTGATGGTCTGCCGTGTATTGGTTTTTGTCTGAGGTCTGCTGTGTATTGGTTCTAGTCTGGGGTCTACCATGTATTGGTGCTGGTCTGATGGTCTGTCGTGTAATGGTTCTGGTCTGAGGTCTGCCGTATATTGGTTCTGGTCTGAGGTCTGCCGTGTATTGGTTCTGGTCTGAGGTCTGCCCTGTATTGGTGCTGGTCTGAGGTCTGCCCTGTATTGGTGCTGGTCCCTGAGATCTGCCGTGTGTTGGTGCTGGTCTGAGATCTGCCATGTGTTGGTGCTGGTCTGTGGTCTACCATGTATTGGTGCTGGTCTGATGGTCTGCCGTGTATTGGTGCTGGTCTGAGGTTTGCTGTGTATTGGTGCTGGTCTGAGGTCTACCGTGTATTGGTGCTGGTCTGAGGTCTGCTGTGTTTTGGTGCTGGTGTGAGGTCTGCTGTGTATTGGTGCCGGTCTGAAGTCTGCTGTGTATTGGGGCCGGTCTGAGGCCTGCCGTGTATTGGTGCTGGTCTGAGGTTTGCCGTCTATTGGTGCTGGTCTGAGGTTTGCCGTGTATTGGTGCTGGTCTGAGGTCTGCCGTGTATTGGTGCTGGTCTGAGGTCTGCTGTGTTTTGGTGCTGGTGTGAGGTCTGCTGTGTATTGGTGCTGGTCTGAAGTCTGCCGTGTATTGGTGCCGGTCTGAGGTCTGCCGTGTATTGGTGCTGGTCTGAGGTCTGCTGTGTATTGGTTCTAGTCTGAGATTTGTCGTGCATTGGTTCTGGTCATGGGCAGACTGACCGTTAGAGCAAATGAACCATTCGGGGGCCTTACCACATGAACTGGATCAGGGGGATAGAGTTTTGCCATCTGCACGTGCTATACGCGCCCAAACCTCCTCTCCAGTATTAAATTATGCCATTCCCCTGTCAATTCTCCTACTAATTATCCTGCAATTCACCCAGGATAATTGGCAGAATTAAGGAACCTAGGTCAAAATAGCCAAACCAGAAAAATTCTGCCATTTAGCTCACTTTCCAAATTGCTTATATTGGTCTAGATTTTGAAATTCTCCTACCAATCCCTCTGCAATTTCCCTTTCAATGACTAGACCTGCCATTTTAAAAATTAGTGTGGAGAAATAATATCTGTGACACAAGAATGTATATGCGGGTGCAATGTGTGGGTGGGGCTTGTATATGAGCAGAGCACAACAGGGCTCCATAATCTCATATTGCCTGGGGGCCCCATGTGTTGTCAGTCTACCCCTGGTTGTAGCGTGTGAGTAAATTGAGACCAGCATTGGTGTCATTGGCAATAACAGTAACCCCTACACAGGTGTCATTGGTAATAACAGTAACCCCTACACAGGTGTCATTGGTAATAACAGTGGCAAGCTGTAACAATAAGCCCCCTCCCCAGCATTTATGGTCAGTGGCTGGCTGCAAAAGTAAGCCCTCCCCCCATCACTCCAGCATTGGTGGTCAGTAGCTGTCTGGAACAAGCACCCCCCTTCCCTCCCAGCATTGGTAGTCAGTGGCTGTAACAGTAATATGAATCCCTCCAGCACTGGTGTTCAGTGTTTACTCACCTGGAAGTGTGTTGGATGGTGAACATTCTTGAGCTGCCTTAACTCTTCAAGAGAGCAATGATTAGTAATGTGGGCGAAGGAACAGGTAAGTTTGACCTTTCTTCTTTGAACATCAAACTTTTCTTCTTAATATCTAATCTAGCAGCAATGTCCCTTTATAGAGTTAAATAATAGCAGCATAGTAGAAATCATCTAAGAGTTCAATGTTTTGGAATCGATTAGTAGTGATCTAAAACAGCATACAGGCTTTCACAGCTTTTCCTAGATTTTAACACATTTGCCATAATGCTTGCTTAACTAAATTGTTAGTAGCAGAAATGCAAAGCTGTCCTAAAACCATTTTGCATTCTTGGGAAATGAATAAACTCAGCAAATAATGTATTTTCTCTTTTTAGCGTCCCTCCAGAAATACTGATGATGGAAAGCAGACTACAGACTTGCCAACAGAAACCCTGTCAATAGACCTCTAATTTTCTTTTGCAGGATTCAAGCTGTTTACAGGAAATGTGAAGCATCTAAACATATAAACAAAGAGTCCACAAGAAATCTATCATGATAAAAAATATGGGGGGAGGGATTACTGCCATTGCTGAAACATCTCCTGAAAAGGCTACTTACCTGTCTCTTGCCTCAACTTATTTGCCCTAATGCTTTACGCCATTGACCTGTAAGCAGTATACAGTTTAGGAAAGCCGGAGAAAAGTCAGAAGTCCTTATCTGCATATGTGTTCAAGCGAAGTGCTCAGTTGGTTTGCTAGGCAACTCAAGTGTCCAGAAGGAGATCAGCAATCACAGTCTCTGTATTTCTCCCATTGAAGCTTTCCTTTAAGCTGGTCAAAATTCACTGCCAATATATCTTTACTTAGCTGACTAAATGTACTGTTCATGATACTTTTTTATTTGCAGCATCCATATTTTTCAGTCCAAGCTTAAAAATGACTGTTAGTTTTAATTAAAAACCGTATCAAGTACACTGTTCCACTGTTTTGTTAGAAGTACACTAACACAGTAACAATCAATTAATATGTATTTAGCTGTATCATTATCATGTTTGCTCAGATTGACAGAGTTTGCCTATAGAATGAAGTAACCCAAAACCAAAATGTAAGGTATTGGCGGCTGCATTAGTTTACATTTTTTGAGTTAAGAACATTTTCAGTAAGTATGGAAAATACCAGTTAATGTAGTGTCTTAGTCTTAGCACTGGAAATAAAAAGAAAAAAGAAAAACGCACAATAATTAGTAAACATAGCCACGCAGGAACAAGAAGGATTTTATTCACAGGATTGACAGGAAATAATAAAGGGAAAAAAGCCCCAAAAAGGTGAAGTAATTCTGCCATCACATGTAAGGACTAGCAAGCTGCAATATATTTAATTTTTGCTTTCAGGTTTACATATACTTTAATGTCTATAAAGGAGAGAGAAGAAAGAGCAGTCACACAACTCTGTTCTTATTCCAAAGGGAGTCTCATTCTCCTTGGAATGATTACCTGCTGATACCCATTGACATGATGATCATTTACTGATATGGTATAAATCGGATGATGACTCTTTTGTCAGTGAGTAGCTTTAGGCATGAAACAGAAATGTCATTTTTCACTAGAGATCTTCTTAATGGTTAAAGTAATGCATGTTTACCATGTGGCTAGGTAGCAGAGATGTGCTGCTGAGCTGAGGCTGTTGAATTTGTTAAAATCAATGTGTAGGCTGCACACGGTAAATATTCACCTAGATAATGCCATCACTTGCAGATAAGTTAGAATCTACAGTATATATTGAAGAAACTTTACACTTGTAGCACTCAGTGCAATATGCTTAGTTTTGTGTACTTTTATAAGAGATAATTCCACGTACAGTTGAATTTTGATACACTCATTTGTACCTCTTTTAAGTCACTCTAAATATTTGTGTGTATGTCAGAAAAAAATGAAAATATGCCATACTATCTGGCCTTGCTAGCACATACGTTTGCAAAGAGAAAGTGACTAGGAGTATTAGTAAAATAAAAGATCATCAGATTCATTGGTTGTTTTAATTGAGGAGAAAAAGTGTTTTCTCTGGATAGTAAAAACAAAAAAGAAAATTGCACAATAAAACTGTTTATATTTCAGCTCTCTGAGTCCTAGGGTGAAAATCTTTCTGAATTTCCTGATCAGTAGGAACTAAATTTATAAAGTATAGATAAAGTAAGTAATATTAAGGTATGACAATTATATTGAACTTAAATTTGGTACAATTTTTTTATATTTTAAAAATCAGCTTTAAAATGTGTACTAAGGGCATAGCAAAAACAACAACAGTCTTTTCAGAGAGATTGAATTGTTTGTCCAAAAATTGTGAAAGAAAGGGTAAGACAAACATGTACTGGTTTACACGAGAGTCAGGGTTATTCCTATACACCTAATACCTAGTTTATAAGCAATGTAGTTAGCACCCTTTTTGGCATCTGACAAACCTTAGAAAGGAAGATGTTGAATGGTTTATTTTTTTTGTTTCTCATCTTTTCTTAAAGGTAAATACATATTTTATTTGAATTTGAAAAAAATATAATAGGTTCAGTTTTATCTATTTTTTTAAATTTGTTTGACAGTTTGTGTTGCATTTGTTAAGTAGTTTTGAGATAATTATCTATACCCCATGTATTTGGTTTAATAACTTTCACGTTTGAAGCAATTATAAAAAGGTTGTTTTATACTGTTTTTATGTGTTTAATAAAATATATTTTATACATGTATGTATGTATACTTACCGTAAGAATAAAAATCGTATTGCCTAAATATTGTGTTTTCATTGTATTTATCTCAGGGCATGCGCACAGAGAAAATATTCTTGTGGCTTTATTTATATTGTACCCATATGTCCATTAAATCAAATTCATGATGAGTCAAAAACCACAGAGAACCATGCCCGTGTATAACCCTAATTTAATTTAGAACAAAACTTGCAAAATATAGTATGTGGTTAGATTTCAGTGTATTCCAAAATATCCCAAAGCAGAAAATTAAAAAAATTAAATGAAATTGACAAAACTGTAGCTTTGGTTAGAAGGGTGGGCTGTGATGGATTCATGTTAAAATTCGGGCTGCTCATACTTTCCCAGTTCTATCTGGCTCATATCTGTTTATCCCAGGTACCTCCTAAAAAAAAATATTGGCATTCTCCATTTAATCCACTAATATATTTTGTAAGGTATCAGATTTGAATTTGCACATTTAACTCTAAAACAAGTAATCCTGTGAAAAATCTAGAGTTTGGATTTTCTGAGGTGTTATATTTGTACTCTACAGCCATTGGCTCTTTTAAGCAGATGCATGTGGACCTCAAAAATAAAGAACATTTTCTAGTGATGATCGAATCAGGAGAGTCAGACATTCTGAAAGTTTATTTTTGTGAATATTCACTTGCAGGTATACAGTATGTGATCGGGGAAGAATCATGAAATTCAGGATTCTTTGTAGCTGGTCCTCATGAATCCCCTAATATTACATTCTAAAACATTTAATATTACCCAATTTTTTGGTAACATATAAAAGACGCGGTTATGTCAGGTAAAAAGACACCAAACATGTCAAGCCTTAAAATTGCGCACGCGCGCGAAACCTCAAAAAACTACATTACCCAAAATTGGCCATAGGCGACGCTTTAAAAGCTTTTACCGCTCGTCAGTTAAGTGTTACGGCCCGTGTGCCCGTCTTTCCTGCCCGTGTGCACGCGTCAGGGGGCGTGCGCGAGCAGGAAAAAATGCCGTCTGGAGACGGCAACCCGCTGATGCGAGTCCGCCATCCGTCCGTTTTTTTTCTACGGGCGGTTGGCAACTGGTTAATATACTTATGAGAATAAAAAACAAACACCAACTCATCTGGTTTTCTAATTGATTTAATCACTAGCTCTTACATAGAAGAGGAATTCTTTCCACAATCCAGAATATTAACAAACCTGGTATACAATAGATGGTGGTTGGATCTGCAGGTATGATCCCATCCGAAAAGACATTTCCATACCTATGCGCATGATAATGGAATATGGAGAGGCAGGACATGGCAAACAGACTGGTACTGGCTATGTGGAAGGAAAGCTATAGGAAATACTTGGAAAATTCAACCCAAGAGATCATTTATTTTTTCAAGGAGATTTAGTCGGTCAATATTTGGAGACCTTGGTGAGTGTTTACAGAAATGCAAAAAGATTATACTTGCACAATATGACCATGAGAAGATCATATGAAGGTCATCCTATAATTGTAGGTGTTTTAATAAATAAAATGCAGGTGGAATTGTTAAAGTCAAGGCTGGAAAATGAAGAAAATGATCTTACAAAACTGTTTGTAGGCTAGTCAGTCATGTTTATCCAAACCCCTTATTATGGCAAAGTAGCTACATGAGGTTTTAGCTTCAGACTTACCTCCACAGTCTAAAGATTTGATTATTATTGAACAGCTGCAGATTGGAATAATAAGAATAACTAAGAATATATTTGAAAAAAAAATGCTGTACAAGGAAGAGTGGGAAAAAAAACCCTTACACAGTTTAAGGTGACACTAAACTCAGAAGTTAAATGTTAAAAATGCATTTAAATACCTGGACTATTAAACAATACTGCACCTTATATGTGTATCACTCAGCTATAGATCCTCAAATCATCTTTAAATTCATGCTGACACTGTCCTTCCTCCTGGAGGGTGGCTACTTGTATTCCCCATGGTCCCTGTGTGTGTTTTGCGAAGTTGCCAAAGTTCCAAGCTTGCTCCCATGATGGACTACAATCTCAAATTAGTAAGTCACATGCTCAAGATGAGGCTGGACCAGTGTTTTGTACAGTGGTAGAATTATAGTTTTATCTCTTGAATACAGTGGCGTAACAATCACCATAGCGACCCAGGCGGCCGCTATGGGGCCCGAGGCACGTCAGGGCCGGCCAGGACATCTCCCTGATGCCGTGCGGGCCACCTGGGTCGCTATGGCATCTTGCTTGAATAATAACCTTTTTTAATGCATTATAGTAATCTGCTAGTTTGCTAAGTGCAGCTTGGCAACCAGGACTCCCAGATCTTTCTCCATTCCTGATTTCATCAGAGGAACATTTCCTAATAAGTATCGTGCAAACATATTTTTAGGCTCCAAGGGCAAACCTTTATATTTTGCAATACTGAACCTCATCTGCCATGCAGCTGCTTACCACTCAGTTTTATCAAGGTCTTTTTGTAGTGATTCTATATCCCTTTACAAGATAAACAGAATTAGTTTTATTTATTAGCATTACTGTTTTTTTTTATGCAACCTGTCTTTATTGTCTGTAAAAAAAACAAAGAGAAGAGTAAATACATCTGCCTTCTCTGGGGTATTAACTTTTGCTGACCTACAGCTGAAGTCCACAAAGTAAAATGTTATTCATATTTCATAACTCCTACAGTAATGGAGTTACCTTTCTAAAAGGTGGTTACATTAATGTAGAAGATACAACGTAGACACCAAACACAACTATATTACAAGGTACATGAGGCTAGTAAGTGTAATATTG